AACAAAAGCAAGCCAAACCAAAACCACCTAAGCTTTCACTAGAAAACTTTTAACTTTATAAGGCAATAAAGTACAATTAAAACCAACAATCACTGTTACAATAAATATAACTTTAAGGCACTGTAAAACATGAAGCAATGATAATTTCTCCATATACTGATGACTAAGCGGAACAGGCCTCCCAAGAGCATGTACAAAATCACAACTTTTTTTTGTTGGCAGTTTTGCAAAGTACTACTGCACTGAAAGCCCTTCCTGCCTTGCTGTGAGAAATCTGTGGAGAAAGTGATCAGTAGAGATTTCCTTGTACACGGGAACACTTTTTGTACTCCTGACCATATCGTAGAGACAAGTGGCTACATTTTCAATTACCCCACTGTAATTTTAGTTCTTCCTGCAAGGTCAAAACAGCAAGTTAAAGCTTTGTTTAATCAACGGATATTTGGAAACAGGAAAGGCAAGCCTCACTGTGGCTAAAAAGCTGTTTCTTTTTCAACTTTTTGCTAACCGATTCCAAGTCAGATGAAGCACACATGCTGCTTTTACTTTCAGACTCGATGCATTGTTATTACTTGTATTTAAGATGTTCCTTCAGAAACAAATTAAAATAGCTACAACATACAAAGCTCTATTGTTTTATTGAAGCAAATCTTTCCCTGCCCAAGTTTTAGAACAGAAAGTTTCTGCTCATTTGTCCTAGTAGATGAGCCCACCAGCAGTCTTTTGCATATTTCAGCCTCACAGGAAAAATCAGAAGCAATACATCCCTTCATTATATGTTAGTTTCCATATCTGAAGCTCCCATTCTCTATAATAGGATATTCGAAAGAAAGTACTTCAGTAAAACTAAGAAGTGAAAAACCACTCTTCTAATGAACACAGAGAGTCTGAACTAGAAAGAAATAATAGTGGAAAAGATAAAAGTTCAGGTAAGTATCCACTGGGATATTCAAAAGGTAGCAATGACTTTAAAGAGCATATTACAAATTGGGTTACTGAGTGTCATATCCTCCCATGCTCCAACTGTCATTCTCTATAGCTGGCAGCTGACATCCATTTCAAGTGAAGAAACTGGAAGCACAGAGAAATCCACCAAGATGACTCTCAAAATAACCAGCAGCTAAACATTTTGGGAGGAAATTAAGAATTAAGGCTCAGCCCTCAGGCTGTTACACAAGAAAATGGCAATCTTCACTCTGCAGCTTTGCCCTGCAGAGGTTTTCATCATACAAAGTTGCTTTGACAGGGCCATCCCTGACTTCCACTGCAGGCAGCTCTGTGCTACAAAGTGCTGGATGACAGCCAGAGATTTAATAACCTCACAGTGTAACAGCTTCTGAAATGGCAGGCCCTTGATGTCTTGAACTTCAACAGAAGCATTAAACACCTCTTTCTTCACCCCCCACAGAACAGCACTGTCACTGACCTGGTGACTCAGTCGTCAGCATTCAAGTCAGCTCATATTAATGTCTCTGGCCAAAGTCATATTTTCTTACCCTTTCAGTTCAGGTATATTAATGAGCAGCAACTGAACAATATTCATTTGTTTCTACTCTTCTTTGAAGATTTTATATTCTCTGCTTCTGCTGTTACTTCTTCATTTTTCAATGTTTCTCTTTTGTTGCTTTTCACTATCAAATATATTTGTATCATACACAGCTTTAATACTGATGCCTTTTCTTTCCTGTAATGCTGCAAGAATCCAGAAGTCAGGGATTTTATTGCATCACCATTTACTGCTTATGCTCCTGTAACAAAACTGCCATACAGGACATGGGAAAGAGACAGATTTTGACAATGACCTCACTAGTTTAGACAAAACCACAGAGTGATGAAACCACATATCAGAGCATGATCTCAACTATTTGGCGTTTCCTTGATCTCATTCTCCTCTTCCCATCACTGAAGAAGTTAATTTCATTTTGAATGTCATGAAAGAACTGGCTTCTTTAAGGAATACTTAGGCAGGAAAAAGTATGAAGCCTTAGAAAAGGTCAGAAGGGACCTCTGGAAGTTCCAGTGCAATCTTTTGCTCAAACCAGTGATAAGTGAGGTTTGATCGGGCTGCTCTGGGTCTCATTCAGTCAAGTTTCAGAAAAACCTCAGGAAGGAGATTTTTTATTCCCCCTCGTGCTCGAGTCCTCATATAGTTTAGCTTCTTCTGGTCTCACTCCCATTTGTCAGCAGTTCTCCAGTATCAAGGTACCCAAATGTGGGACAGTATTCAAGATGTGACCTCAGGAGTGTGAAGTAGTAACAATAACATTAATAATCCCTTCCCTTCACTTGTGAGCTGCAGTCCTGACGACACAGGCCACGGCACAATGACTTTTCACCACCACAGCACACACTGCTGACTCAACTGGATCACCTCTCATTTCTTCCACACAACTTAATGCCCAGGGAGACACTACAGAAGAGGGGGAAAAATCAGTTTGGTGGTTATATCTGCATTAGCAGAGCCAAAAAGCATGATGCAGACACTGTAAGAGACAAGATCTGTACCACTGACCATGGTGGGTTGATACAGAACCCAAGAGGGGAGGAGATAGGAAGATCTGCAACATCCCAAAGACAGCTTGCACATCCTACTTGCCTTATCAAAACCCAGCGTAGCAACTGAAGATAATTCAGGGGAAACAAGTCTTATCAAAGATGGCAGTATGATCATCACTACTGTACATCCCATTCTTACAAAGTACACACTTCCAGCCCTAAAAAAAAAGTAATCTCTAGCTGAAAATAGCAGCCTTTAGTATCTTAAAACTAAAATCTTAGAGTGACAATTATCTTGGCAATATGGACAATTAATGGATGACAGCCCAGAAACTTCAGTTTCATGATCTTCAGTGCAAAACTGTATCTTTAAAAAAGATATCCCCATCGACAGCAGGTCAGTCATATAAGGCTTTTCTTACTTTGGAAGCAGGTCATACCATGTTGCCACTGACTTCATTACTCCACAAAATCATCATGGTTGGAAAGAACCTCTGAGATCACAGAGTCCAACCATCAACATGAAAAAACAAAGAAACAAACAAAACCCCCCAAAAAAACCCCATCACCGAACAAACACAAGCAACAACACCAACTCCACCAAAAAAACCATTTGTGTTGCAATAAATTTAAGAAGGCACAAAGACACGTTCAAGACCAAAATGTGAAGCACTGTCAAGCTTTTTACCCTGCTGCTTCATCTGTAAATATCATCACAGGTCCACTACTTTCCACTGAAATGTTCTTATTTTCTGTCAATAAGGTCTCTTCTTTCTACACACACCGAAATTAGACACAAAACATATTCCACCATTTCCTCGTGTAGCTAGTGCTGCAGAAGGAAAAGGAAATGGGAGTAAATCTATAAACTTACCCTAAGACAGTGAATGAAATCCCCGTGGTGTAACAGCTTGCAGGGATGTCACTATAGTTAATACTGACAAGCAAAGAAACTACTTTCCTTTCAACACTCCATTTTATAAATCAAAGAAACAATTCAAAACCTTTAGTGTGACTGGAATATCAGAATGGCTTTTACTTTTTGTCTCCAATTTCCTATTTGTTGTTCGGCAGGTTTTTTGGAAGCAACCAGATCAAACTGAGCAGGTTGCAATGAAACAGAAATTCCCTTTCTTTTGGGGTTGACTTCTCACACAGATGCTGAAAGACACACGCACACCAGTTCCAAAAGTGCAGCGGTGACACTGATGGCACAACTGCTTCCCCAGTTTGGACATACACACATGAGATCCTGGAATTTGAACCTCAAGAAGCTGACATCAGCAAAATCTGTCTCCTGCACAAGTGAGCTGCAACAAGTCTAACAAAGACTCCTTTATCTGCTCCTATTAGAGCGCACAATCAAATTCAAGTGCAAGCAAGACAACCCAGATCCCTGGGAGCATCAAACAAAACCACTGGCACATTTCAGCAAAGCAAAAATCAGGAGGAGGACTTGAATTGCTAACTCATGTGTGAGGTGGCTTTAATCATAAGCAAATTATCAGCCACATATTCAAAGCAGAAACCAACGCGTCAACTCGTGTGGCATCTGCATTGCTCAGGTTGTGCCACATTCAGGGCACCAGGCTGGAGATGAACACAGGGATTTAACCCCGTGTTGCCCTAAGGATACAAGTTGCCAAGTTTCATTCCTGTATCTTCAGGTTTTAATCTCCAAGGAAAGGCAGAAAACGAACCAGCAGCGAGTGAAGGGCAGGCACTGTCCAAACAAGCATCT